GGTTACTAAAATGTTTTTAAAGTTTTTTATTCACATGTGGTTAATTAGAAAACATTTAATTTTTTATAATTTTTTTTTATTTAGAAAAACATTAAAACAAAACATTAATCAATGATTATTATTATTATCATTAATACTGAACAATTTGAACAAATTGATGACTTTTTTTTGGGGGGGTAGGATTTATATGTATGATTGTGGAAAACAACAAAAAACATTTTCATGTGAGTGTGTGGGGAGGGGCAGGGTGGTGGAAAAGAGATTTGTAAAATATTTAAAAAGATTACACACTTGTATTGATGATGATGATGATGATGATTATGTTATTGATTGTTATAAACATAATATGTTATGTTAACATGATTAAAAAAAATGATTATGATAAGAACAAAACGATTAGATAAATTTTCTTATTTTTTTCTCCTTATTTGGAATTACTCTCATTAAAAAAAACAATAGCACGATGATAATAATAATAATTAAATAAACATAAAAAAAATTTATGTATATTTAAATTTCATTTTGAATTAAGTGTTAGAAAAAGGAAAATTTAATTATTAAGGGAAATTCGAATTAAAACTTTTTTTTTTTTTTGTTGAAATGTAATAATAAGATTTAATGATTGAAATTTTTTTCTCCCTCCCTCCCCCCCCAAGCTTTTTATTTTTTCTTCTTCTCTTTTATTCTATTGTTACTTTTCTTTTTTATAAAAAAATTTTATTTATTGATATTAATTAAAAAAAAAAAAGGCGTTAAGAATGAATGACTAGAAAAAAAAAATTTCTTTTTTCTTCAACTTGTGAAAGTGTTGGAGACAAAATAAAATTTATGGCGGGAAAAAAAATTTTAAAACCATAAGAACAAAGATAGCAACAACATTATTAACATCAACATCATCAACAAGGACAACATTAGCAACAACAACGACATACATCAGTAACAATAACAAGAACAAGGACCACAACATCAACAATAACAACAAGAACAAGAACAACATCAACAGCAACAAACTTACATCAATAACAAACACTATTCCCATCAGCAGCATCAACAATAACAACAACAACATCAACAAGAACAAGAACAACAACAACATTTACAAGAGCAATATCAAGATCAGCAACACAACAAGAACAAAAACAACTTTGGACGACAACAAAATCAAATATCAGCAGCAAACATTATCCACATCATCAGTGACAACATCAACATCAACAATAACATTCACATCAGTAACAAGGACTACAACAACATCAACATCAACATCACCAACAACATACATCAGCAGGAACAACAAGAACAAGAACAGTAACAACAAAATCATATTAAGTTGTCCCATAAGTTTCTTCTTCCTTACCATAAATTTATTTCACATCAAAAAGAAGGGAAGAAACTTATGGAACAACCTAATACATCATCAACAACAACAAGAACAGCAACATCTACATCAGCAGCAAAAACATGAACAACAACAACAACAAGAATAACATCAAACAATTGCATCAATACAACATCAACATAAAAAAATTTTTCCAAATTTTCAAATCGTTTAAATCTTTTTTATTTTCTTCATTTTCTTCTTCCACGTTTTAAAAACACTTTTCCTTTGTTCTTTATTTTACATATAATTAATAATAACACACGTGAAACAAAAAAAAAAGAAAAAATTTTTCTGGGGGGTTT